TTGATAAAAATTTACTATGGAAAATGCCATATAAAATATAGAACAGCGAATATCTGCAAAGCCGTTAAAAATTTTGAAATACTATAAATACAAAAAATGTTCATTTTTTAATTCTCCATCTATTGAAAAAATAATATATAGGGTGATCCATTTAAAAAAAAACGAAGAAAAATTATTTTATATATTAGAACGTTTGGCATAAAATTTTGAACATCCTGTATGATTTACGATTACCATATTTACAGCAAAGTAAGTACAGAACATCTAAAGTAAATACTTAATATAGTTTTGATTTCAGGACAGTTGGTAAACAAAGCTATAGTGGGTCCACTGACAGGGTATAGTAAGCTTAATAGGCATTTACAGGGTGGTCCGAATTGTATTCCGGAAATTTTGGCAGCATATTCTGCAGATAAAAATAGGTAAAAAAGGTCGTATAAATGTGTGTCCTAAAATGCTTAGTTTCGGAGATACAGGGTGTACAAATTTCATTTTTATTTCAATTTTTTCCAAATAATTTCTGAAGTAACGTCAATATTTAGATGAAAATTGGTGTCTGGGAGTTTTTTGACATGAGAAATTTGATTTTGATGTCAATATGACTCCTACTGGTAGAGGGGGCCACCTACATGTGTTTTAACTGTTTTGAAACGTAATAACTTTTTGTCCGTACCTGTATAAAACTACCGAGGGAAAAAAATATACATCTCTGTGATTTTTTACGTAAAAAACATCTCTTTGTAAAAATCGCTGCGACCAACCGTTCTCAAGATATTTAGAATGGAAATAGTCAATACATGCCATTATTAACGAAAAATAAACACGTTGAGTAGATAGTTATTTCACTGAAATAATAAATTTGGGAAATTTTTATTCTTTTAAATTTATCATATTTTTTCTGCAAAAAAATGATGATAAAACAGTTTTTGTTGAACTTTTGGTATAAAAACATTTCAAATTTTTGATCTCAGTCTAATAACTATTCATATATCATGTTTAATTTATGTCAGTGATGACAGGTATTAATAATTTCGATTCCAAATATCTCGAAAACCATTACTCGTAGCGATTTTTACCAAGAGACCTTTTTTACGTAAAAAGCGTCGTAAATGTATATTTTTTTACTCAGTAGTTTTATACAGGTACGGACGAAAAGTTATTACTCTTCAAACCAGTTAAAAAATATGTAGGTGGCGCCCTCTACTAGTAGGAGTCATATTGACATCAAAATCAAATTTTTCATGTCAAAAAACTCCCAGGCACCAATTTTAATCCAAATATTGACCTTACTGCAGAAATTATTTGGAAAAAATCGAAATAAAAATGAAACTTCTACACCCTGTATCTCCGAAACTAAGCATTTTTGGACATGCATCTATACGAACATTTTTACTTATTTTTATCTGCAGAATATGCTGCCGAAGTTTCTGGAATACAGTTCGGACCACCCTGTATAATGGGATTGACAGAACACATTTTATGTCGGTGCGAAAGACTGACAAATGTGTCCTTTTGTACTAGACAATGATAGGCCATTGACAAAGAAGTATATAGAGGTTGTAGCCTCCAAGTTGCTAAACTTTTTTAAAAGAATAGGAGTGGAGAATATAACCTAAGGTTCAGAAGATCTACCGCACATTGCACAACTAACTATTTTACATTATTTTTCTAGTATTCGCTATAATATCACTGTTAATTTAATTTCTGGCACAAAATTCTTCCAAACTTACTACCTCTAAGCAAAACCAATTGTTAAATAAATAATAAATAACGTAGCTCGGATACAGATAATTTGTGTGCCGGCCTTGTATGCTCTGCTCTCTAGTAGACGCAAGGTTGCTGGTTCGAATCCAGTTTTGAGCATGGGTGTTAATAATTGAAAATTGCTCATAAGAATAATTAATAAGCTTGCTGAAAAGCAATGAGTCAAGTATGAAAAAAAAGTGTCAAATGGAATGTGTGAGGAATTATGATATCGATTTAGACGAATATACCGGGTGCGTCTCAAAAGTGGCTCGCCCCTAAACTTTTTTATTTCTTCAGATAAAAAATCGAGATTTGGTATGTTACTGTATGACATAAATTAGGATTGATTTACGTATTCAATGGTTTTCGGTCACTTCCTGTTTAAACGGAAATGACTACAAATTTTGATTTTTAAGCGGCACCTTCTGTATTTTGTTACTTTATTCGATAGAAAATGACACTCTAGATAGAATGACATGACATAAGTCAACTTTTGACATATTCGAATATGGTTTATTTGAAATTGCAACATGCGGTTCATAACGACAATTTGATTCGAAATACCGAGTCTGTGGAACCAAATTATTCGTAAAAAATGCTGTTTCCAAATATGCTAATAAGCCACCCTCATTCCTTTTGAAAAAATTAAGATATGATTAAAAATACGATTTGGGCATCTTTTAACTGGTCAGGACAAGACACAGAGCATTAGACGATCAAATCTATTTTTCCCAGGCTCATTGATTAAAAATTCGTGTTTTTAACACAGTCATGGCACTCTGGATTGAAATTTAAAATCCAATCTTGATTTAAGCGAAAATGTCGAAAGTTGACATATGATATGTCATTCTATTCAGAGTGTCATTTTCTATCGAATAAACTAAAAAAATACCGAGGGTGCCATTTAAAAATCAAAAGTTGTAGTCATTTCCGGTGAAACAGGATACCAAATCTCGTTTTTTTTTTATCTCAGCAAATAAAAAAGTTATAGAGATGAGCCACTTCCTTAATCTTTTTATTTTAAAGGAATTAACTACAAATTAATGTTATTTTTAGAACTGCTCAATATTTATTTATTTCCCTAAGGTTCAAATCTTAAAACTACGAAATTGGTTTACTTTGTATCGCGGGAAAAATAAACCGCAGCTTTTTTCCAGGTCACTTCTGGTTCGATTACGATCAAATAATCTTTTAGAACATCCCGGAAAAATCATTTTTCCGGAAAAATACATAAAACCGAAAATTTTACCGTCTTCGAGGATTCGTGTATTTTTTATTTTAGCTCTCACGTCCGGGGTGGTTTTTAGGTGGGAGTATAAAATTCGCTGAGTGTTTATTTATAGATAAGGGTTACTTTTCGGGGTAACAGAAATGTAGAATGTAGAATTTTTAATCTAAATAATTAAAAAATGCAGATTTATTTGATTTCATTTAAAAATTAAATATTGTTTTTTGTCTTAGAATACTAAACCAAACGTAAAAAGGAAGAAAACTGTCATAACTAAGATTCTCAGCTTCGTCTGCTTAGAAACTTAATAATACACTTTCTGTTTACTCTCTAAAGAACAGCGAAACTAACTTTTAATGACTTTTATTTCGTCGCCTCAAAACACAACAGATGCACGGTTAAATAAGTGATATTTTTGTATAATTCCCAACCAAGTTTTGAAGTTAGAATATAAACTGAATACTTGCCTTTTATATTGTTTTAGTTTCTAGATTCTAGACAATAATGGATATATTCAAAACTGTTGTTGTATAATTTTCTATAGCTTATAAAATTTTAAATTAAACTTGGAATATTTTGTGTTTGTAACAACTTTGAATTTTAAACTATGAATCAGTGTAATGAATACTAAAGTGTCTATCTTTTATTATCTAAAATACTCCTTTTATCCGATACACTCTACCTTATCCGATAGTAAAGCAGCCTTAAAAACGATCAACTCTATAACCATCATTTCGAAGTTGATCAAAGAATGACTAGAAAAGCTGAACAAATTAAGGAATGAAAATAAAGTCCTCCTACTCAGGGTGCCAGCTTGCCAAAAGATTGAAGATAATGAAAAAGCTAACGATGTAGCTAGAAAAGGACCAAACACTCCACTCACTGTACCAGAATCATTCTGCTTCCCAAGTGGAGGCCAACTTAAAGCAGAAATCAAAAACTTGGAAGACTCTATCCGTAACCTGGAATGGGAATACTCTAAACGGTCTAAAAGACTCCAAGAAGTTTCTCAGGACTTACGACCAAGAAAAAACAAAGATTTTCCTTGATTTAAGTAAGAACAATCGGATTGTCATGGGGTTGTTAACAGGATACTGTGTCATCAATACCTCACTAGATTGTGTGGGAAAAATGGAGAAACGCTAGTACACTTATTACTGAGTGCGCTGAGACAATAACATTCGTGCCATCAACTTTGGTACGACTAACATCGGAGATGGAGAACCAACCTCTGTAAAACCGTTTCAGATATTCGCGTTTGTCAAAGCTCTGAGACTGTATGATATATTATAACTCAAGAAAGGGACTCACAATAGATCTATAAGGTCGCGGTGATTAACTTCCACTCTCCCATACATTCTACAATCTAATAGTGAATTAATAGTACCGCGGAGACTATTATCTCCACCAAGATCATCCAGTCTATAGCTTTTAATATCCGTGGATATTAATAACGGACAGCCTGAAGTTGCACGCTAGACTGCGGTCCATTAATATGCTCGTCATTGTGAACATGACTTTAAGACGCCAGCAGTGACGTCGTAATAATTCATCCGTCGACGGGATGCGCGCATTTCACCCTTTTGATTGATTATTATGCATGGCTTTGTGAACTGATGCACCACGCCAGGTTTACAAAGGAAAATTAACCCAGAAAAGTGTGTTGAAATGAAGAAGATTACAAGATTTAGTAGTTAAACGTCAAAAACTATCTGTTTCCTGTTTAATATACAGGGTGACCCAAATTGTTTTAAAAGGAAAACTTCTGCAGCATATAATCCAGATAATAATAAGTAAAAAAGTATTTCAGGACATACGTGTATACAAACGTTTTTACTTATATTATAGTTTGGACCACCCTGTAATAGAAAAAATATCAGTACAGACCTTAAGGACAGATATATTCTTAATGACTCTTATCCATGCTCTTATCACTGTGTTGGACATAAGCTGGCTAGCTTGGTTTAATGTTGTAAAAATCGATAAAAAAATATGTAACCTCTAAAATTCTAATATCAATCAATATGTCAAACAAAAATGTCACAAAACATACAACTACAAACATTTCTCTTTAGTATAGTAGTAAATATTCTTTTAACAAACTGTTACAACTTAGAAAAGCTCCTCACTAAAGACGATGTTCGTTTATGGTACCAAAACCAAACCAACTTGGACAATATAAAAAACCCATACTGCGCAATTTGCTGTCCAGACATCAGACGCTTGGAAAAGGGTAGAAAATGCGGAATACATACCATGTGCGTTTATGAACCTAAACCTACAGGGCCTGCTTGTAAAGGACTAATAATCATGGACTTTTCGGATGAAGAAATAAATGCCATCGTGGATGCTCACAATACCCTGAGAAACAGGGTCGCTATGGGATGGGAAACACAAGGAGATCCAGGTAAGTCTCATAGTAAAATAATTATAATAATACTCCTACACAGGTTAGTAAAGATTTTAACACCTGCCAAGAAAGTACAATGGTAAAAACATGGAGAATGCTATCATTCTCATAGTTTCCAGCTTATTCAACAATTTCCAATTATGGTGTAGCCTCTTAGCCTCCCTTACATATTTAGATAATCTCCCTGTAATTTAGCCCATTGTTAGCTATGCGTGTCATAGTTATCCCTGCGAATTTCCTAATATCAATCAATTTTATATATTTATTAGGAACATTGTATAGGAATGTCGAATTTCAAACTTTTCCAGTAACAAATATATACAAAAAATCAACTTTTTAGTAATTCAATATATTTCTTAAAGGTCCTCAACAGGCAGCTTCTAATATGAGGTTGATAACATGGGACCAGGAACTATCCCATGTGGTTCTGCGATGGGCTACACAGTGTATATACTACCATGACCGATGCAGGGACCTCAGTAGGTTCCCAGTAGGTCAGAACATAGCAGAAAGCAACTATGCATCGAGAAGTGACTTGAAACATATCGAGAATTGGTATTCCAAGGTGGAGTTTTATAGAAACACGGATATAAACAGTTACAAAATGTAAATAATAAAACTATATTTTATGAATTATCGCTAGACAAAGTTCTTTAATTTTGACAGCGATGATCAATCAAAATTCTAAGGTACTTCCGACAGACACACATGCTTGAAATTTTGAATTTTATTATTATCCTATAAAGAAAAAAAATGTTATAAATTGTTACCTTATCAACTGCCTATCAACATTCTATAATAATTATAATGGCTTGGAGCTAGCACGATCTTTAATTAAATTATATATTTTTGAGTTTGTATGAAAATAACGAATCCCATTGAAACCTGAGACAATATACAAAACTAAATTTGTTTACAGATACGAAAAAGAATATTCGTCCTTATCACAATACACCCAACTGGTATGGGCAGACACATACCTAGTAGGCTGTGCCAGAGTCAGCTTCCAGAAAATCGAAAAGAGCAAAACGGTCTACAAGGAGCATTTTTTCTGCAACTACGGACCTTCAGGAAATATTGCCGGACAGCCTGTATATAAACCGGGAGAACCCTGCAGTGCGTGCCTGGAAGGCACTGGATGTACGGACCCGGAATATCCGGGGTTGTGCGGTAACGAGATTGTTAATGAAACTTACTATGAGTTACTGAGAAGGAAATCGAAATTAAAATTGGAAACAAACTCTGGAAAAGTGTATAAGGGTGTTTGGGTTAATGTAATGTTTGTTTGTATAAAAATAAAGTTTATTTCTTACTGAATTTTAATTTACGATAATATCATGTTGGTTACGCTAACCGTATATATATATATAGAGTCATAACTTCCTTTGGACAGACAGGGTTAATACAAATCCATGATACATACATACATACATATACATACTGCCATTACTAGCTGACGAGTATTTGACACGCGTCAGAAGATGGTCACGGAAGGCGTTTTCTTTCATTTCATACGTGAAGTTATCTCTCTTCCGCACTGCGGACATTCAAAAATCTCATTGCTTTGTTGCCTCTTTACTTTTTGGTTGTCGCTGTTAACTGAGTTTACAATTGTTCTCCATTCCGTTCTATTGTGAGCTGCTCACCGTAAAGCAGAGAGTTTGGTATGCGGTTTTCTTGCATTCTGCATACTTTGTAATCATGACTTCAATTCTCTCGCAGTTAGCTTTTTCAAGGACCGATACGTTTGAGACATGATGGAACCATTTGATTCTTAAGAGTTGTCTAAGATATCTCTGTTGCAACTTGTTTAATGCGTTCATGTATCGGTGGTATGGCACACAGGTTTCGCCTCAATATAACATGGTGGGAATTATTATTGCTCAGTACACTGCAAGTTTCGTTTTTGTGCTCAAGTCATAATTGTAGAAAACCCTGTCTTTTAATTTCCAGAACTCTCTTGAGGCGCTGCTAATCCTGTGCTGAATTTCAGAGTCAATATTGACCTTCTCCGAAATCAAACTGCCGAGGTAATTCAATTCCGCTACATATTCCAATAGTTCTTCTCCGATTTTTATAGCATTGTTGTGATTTTCCGGGGGAGTGCACATGATTTTAGTTTTATTTTTAAGTCCCAAAGCCTCGTATACCCATGTATGTGTGTTCAACATTTCTTGCAATGGCTGTAACGTATTTGCAACTAGAGCACAGTCATCACTGTGCGTCACAAATCAGCGATACAAATAATATGAAAGGAAAAAAGAAAAAATGTGTTCAAAGAAAAATCTATTTTAGTATAATTTTGCGCTTCTATTACAGTTGGGGGTTGGAACCTTTGACGTTACAACAACAAAATAAAACACTATTCACCACAATACACCAAAACATTTTACTTTTGCACTGGAAGCGCATTTCGCGCATTCAGCAGATGATTAAACAATATTTCCACTTATATGTTGGCTAGCCCTCAGCCTTTTAACTGTCAATCCAAAAAAATATAAAAATTAAAATATCTAATCAGTGAAGTTAAACCACCAAATCCCAAATTTAGATCTGATTTTAAAAACTCTCCAACAGAGCAAAAATAGCTGGAATTATCCAGATCTGAAAATAATGGTCCCCAAAAGAATATTAAAGATGAAAATTTTTATCACCACCGATTCCAGACTCTAGAGGGGTCTCCAGACATAACCCTAATAAATTTCCAGTCCTTGTCGCAGCGATGTTGCCGCTTTATCAAGATTTCTCTGGTCAGTTTTTTTGGCTAGGGGCTTATTTTTATCTAGCACATCGAAAGGACCTCAAATGTCCAGGTTATATGTAAGTATAAGCTTACAGATCACTTCAGTCACGAAAAGGATATTCTATTTTTGCCTTTTAAAATGTTTGTAATAAGTTTTGAAACTTGTATTTGGTGTCCCATAAAAGGTTCTAAAATCTTCACTACCTAAAATTTACGAACATTTCCTTTTTTCAATGATATTTATCTTAATATGTCTTAAATATACATATTTGAAGATCTCTAAACATCAACTGTGTTGGATTTCTCCAATTTTACTATATTTAGTAACCTTGGATTTAGATGATGTATGAAGTAATTTGTAGCTAAATTATTTGACTTTTTAATAAGAGGAGAAATCCAACAGTTGATGTTTAGAGATCTTTCAAAGAGATCTTTAAATATGTGCGAGGCAATCTGTTTACGAGGCAATCTGTTTAATAAAACAGGTTGCCTCGTAACTTTTGGACCAATAGGGGCGAAGCTGCAACTACGTCATAAGGATGCTACAAAACGTCTAAAATCATAGATAAAGAGATAAAAAATAAAATGCAACCGACAAAGAGAGATAAATGGGCAATGCAATAAAGAAAACACACATCAAACAACTGAAAACTATGGACGCCATACACTGTAAACAATAATGTAGACAATGAATATCGATTCAGAAATGCACTGTCGGACTGTCGGCAGTTTTTATACCTTTATCTATGAATGGCAGCATTCCTCTGACGTAGTTGATGACGTTTCCGATAATGGCGCAATGAGTTACGAGACAACCTTATCTTTTAATAACCTTGATCTAAATCGGCATATTAAAACAAATTTAACTTTAAATTTTAAGGTGTCCGTTTTTCATGCCGGTCAGTGTATTTACTTAAACGAAAAGTTACTTTGCCATTGTTTTTTGTACGTTTTTGTTGGTCTATCGCTGATCTTTGAAACAATTTACCATTAAGCGGGCTTATCTATGCAAAATGAACGCTAACAACCGCCATTCGGTTAGTCTCGAGGTCGAGCTTATAGGTTTTGCATTAGATCGGCCTTCCTGGGGGTGTATTTCGTGCATAATTGGAGCTTTCCAGACAACCGCCGCCGCGTTAAAATTCAAACCCTCTTCCAGTGGAGGTACAGATAAGCGGCATAAAGTTTGCACGATGTTTGGAAAAGCTCGAGCGGAATTTTCAAGCACGAAAACAATTTTTTGCTTGGGACGATATTTTAGGGTTGCGAAATATCAGATTAACAAAATAAACATCTAAGTGTAATGCGCACTGGCGTAACTCTATTTTATCAGCTTTAATCGAATATAACCACATGAATATAACATACTATCGAAAAAAATCGGAGACACACTGGGGAATAACAATCAATGACAATTTTGGCGAGGTCAAGTCCTAAATGTAATTTACTTGGCCAGTACTTTATTCTTCTTTTTTAATGGTGGCATCCTGTTAGTTCGCCTTAAGAAGACTGTATTTTATTTTTATAATGAGTAAAAATTATCTTTCCTAAACGAAATTTCTAGGTGTACTATTAATAGGTTTTATATGGTTAGATTGGTTAGGTAAAAAAGTTCTTTTTCAAACGTCACAAAAGTATTAATTTTTGCGACGTGATTGACATTATAAAAGTAATTTTAACGCCTAGGCATAAAAGTAAAGCACTTTTACGCGTAAGCATAAAAGTACGAAAATATATTAATAAAATTCAACGAACGTAACCATAGTTTCTCGATATACCGGATGGTCCGAACTGTATTCCGGAAACTTCGGCATCATATTCTGCAGATAAAAATAAGTAAAAAAGTTCGTATAAATCTACGTTTTAAAATGCTTAGTTTCGGAGATACGGGGTGTAGAAGTTTCATTTTTATTTCGATTTTTTCAAAATAATTTCTGAAATAACGTTAATATTTGGATGAAAATTGTTGTCTGGGAGTTTTTTGACTTGAGAAATTTGATTTTTATGTCAATATGATTCTTATTTGTAGGAGGCGCCACCTGCATGTGTTTTAACCAAAGGTTTTAACTGTTTTGAAGAGTAATAACTTTTCGTCCGTACCTGTATAAAGCCACTGAATGAAAAAATATACATTTCCGTGATTTTTTACTTAAAAAATGTCTCTTAGTGAAAATCACTACAGTCAACCGTTCTCAAGATATTTAGAATGGAAATAGTCAATACTTGTCATTATTAACAAAAAATAAACATGTTGAGTAGCTAGTTATTTGACTGAAATGATAAAAATTTGGGAACTTATTATTTTAATATTTTACTTAGGAACTTATAAATTATAAATTTTTCTTCGAAAAAATTATGAAAAAACAATTTCTGCTGAACTTTTAGTACAAAAACATTTCAAATTTATGATTTCAGTCTAATAACTATATTTAGTCAACGTGTATAGTTTATGTCAATCAGGGGTGGATGGGCCATATGGGAAAACGGGAAAATTCCCAGTGGGCCGGTGGAAAGATGGGCCGGTGGGCCGGTCCCGATCAGAACTCAAAAAAAGATTGATTTAGCAAAAATTAAATGGTTAATCTTCTAAGTAAAATTACGTAAGATTCTAGTGACTGTCTAACTAACTAATCAGTTTGCATCAATATAATGGTTAGTTGCTTTTAAACATAAACACCAATTTTTAAAATAACTATTGTTAGATGTTTTCCTCTGAGACACTTACAATTTTAATAAACATCTAATAATTTTGTTTGTGGTTCCATTTGAAATGTTTTTTTTTTGTTTGCTTTGTGCAAATATTTTCAGGGCTGGTAGATATGAATAAAAGAAACATACTATATTCTTTTTACCGTGTTTCAAATAAGTCCAAAATAACCGAGTTATTAAAGTTTGTATTTAAAAAAAACTGATTTTTTTAAAAAAAAATTGCCGCCTAAATCTTTCTGTATTTGCATCTCTTTTTGTGCCGTAATATCAAAGATTAAGAAACTATACCGTGGGAAAATTTGCAGTGAACAGGAAGTTCTAAAAAATTTTCTAAAATATACAGGAAAATTTAAAAAAAAAAGCAGGATTTTCAACATCTTTTTTTTACAAAAAAAAACTCATAGATGTGTCCTGGCACCTGGTGGTGACATAATATACCACCCCTGAAAATATTTGCGCTTATTTAAGACTCATTCTGTATAGTTTTACCAATATTCTTTTATCAAAACACATTTATATCCACTGCTTAGGTATTGCCTAGGTTTTTTTCGTTTGAGTCATAGAAACTAGGAAAAGTTACGTGATGAGAATTATACCATTAACAAACATTAAGACACGTATACATGACGAGGCTGCTGCTGTACCAGTAAAGAGAGACTTTCTTTCTACAATCTGTAAGAAAGTATATACCTGAAAATCTAAAAATAATGTATTTCACAGAGGATTGGGCCAGCTGCCGAACTGAATGAATCAGGAAGTCTTAAAGTTTCTCAAAACCGTGATTCAAAATCGTAGCATATTCAAGATGAAATGTTATCGATAATGGAAATAAAACAGTAGAACCCTGTGAAACTGAGCTATTTTCTAGTAAGAATTCAGATGTCCGACCCGATATTGATCTTTATAAAAATTTGGATCAAGACAATTTCTATATTTTTAAAACTCGTGGGCAAAAGAGTTTTTTTTCGCCCGAGCGAAAATCACCCTTACTTGGGGTGATTTGACCCTTACCTAGGGTGTCCCAGAAATAAGTGCAAGTATTTTAAGGGGGGTAGATTTAGTCAAAAGAAACATTTTTTCTCTTTACCGTTTTTCAAGTAAGCCCAAAATAACCGAGGTATTTTACTTTGAAAATTTAAACAAAAAATGCTTTTTTGCTTAAATTTTGAGAACCACTGGATCTTTTCTGTATTTTCTTTCATGTAAATTTAATCTACTACCTATTGTCAGTTGTCAGATTATCAAGAAATTATGTTTTCTTAACTTAAAACTAAAGAAATTCAAAAAATTTCTTCAAAAAATCAAAATTTTCGCAAAAAAAACTGATAGGCGTGTTTCTGACCAGTTAAAATACTTGCACTTATTTCTGGGACACCCTGTATATTAATAAATAAAATATGTTTCTTCGTTATGGTCATTATGCTTTTGTGGATTCGGGCCGGTTGCCTGTTATTCCCGGGCCGGTTTCCACTTCCCCATCCACCCCTGATGTCAATGATGACAGGTATTGATAATTTCGATTCTAAATATCTCGAGAACCATATTACTCATAGCGATTTTTACCAAGAGATCTTTTTTACGTAAAAAGCATACTAAATGTATATTTTTGATTCAGTAGTTTTATACAGGTACGGACAAAAAGTTATTACTCTTCAAACAAGTTAAAAATATGTAGGTAGCGCCCTCTACAAGTAAGAGTAATATTGACATCAAAATCAAATTTCTCATGTCAAAAATCTTCCAGACACACCAATTTTCATCCATATATTGACGTTACTTCAGAAACTATTTAGAATATATCGAAATAAAAGTGAAACTTCTTCACCCTGTACCTCCGAAACTAAGCCATTTTAGGACATACATTTTTATACGAACTTTTTCACATATTTTTATCTGAAGAATACGCTACCGAAGTTTCCGGAATACAATTCGCACCACCCTGTATATTACCCCTATATTACCTTATTTACCCTTACAAAGTGTGACTTTTAAATCTTTTTATTTTATTTGGAACGTTTGAAATTGTTTAAAAATTATTTATGGCGTTTTAAAAAAAAATAGCATGTTCTATTCGGAGTAAAAATGACTTTCTGTGCCTCGCCTGTATGTCGGACTCTTCAAAAATATTAATTTACGTAATTGACAATATAAAAATTAATTTTAATGCCTAGGCCATAGACAAACAAATAAAAAGTTTATGTAGTTATATTATGTTTTATGTTTTTTGTGTTATGTTTATGTTTTTTTTACAGTTTATATAGAATTCTATAAGAAACACAAAAATGGTAAAAGAAATAGGGGTTGCTATTAAAAATTTTAGGGGTAGGTGCCCTGGGGGTCAAAGGGTTGAAAGTAACACGACAACAAATGCCTCAAAAATTGTCCCCCTTGATATGTAAATTGACGTATTTCGCCAAATTTTCATACTATCATCGGTAGAGGCAATATTAAATACTGTTCGTTTTCAAATTGTCACCCTGTATAGTTTAAACTGTGGTTTAAAATCGGAGAAAAAATATTTTTTTAGGGATAGATTTGTGAGTCAAGAACCATTCTATCGTTTTATAATTTTTCAATAATTGGTGTTTGACAAGTTTTATGTCAAGTTTTAGTAAACGACATCTAGAGATTGACCGCGTCCAAATTAAATTATCATCCATTGCCATTCCGCAGCCGTGTTTGACGCCGTTTTTTCGATCATATCATACTTAAGATAACAAATTACAATTTTAATATTAATGTTCATAGCTACTCACAGCATATTAAAAATATACGTGGTATTTAATAAATTAGAAAAGAAAATATTTTTTTTAAAGTTTGAACTTTCATCTTTAAAACTATGCATTATATGTATATTATTATAAGAAATTGTTTCATATTTTTTTCATGAAATTAGGCACTGCATTTTTTGAACACACTTTATGTTTAAACAATCAACCAATACCTAATCAGAGTGATATAAACAATGTCACATATATTTTATTTTCCTATTTGTTAAACATTATATCCACCAACACCCATTATATTTATTAGAATCATGCTCTAACAAACCAAAACATAACCCAAAATATTAATCTTTTCATCACTCTATTGTTAACCTAAATAATAATTCTAAATATTTTATAAACAATTTCCGGAAATTCTGGATAAACACCTGGCACATCTATTTTTAAGACAAAAAAAACATAACCGTCTAATACAACTAGATCTAATTAATCTAGACAAAACGCCAGGAAAAAAGTGCACACCCAAGACCACATCCAGATTTTGCCAGGATATATGCAAATTAATCAGAAACCCTTCGAAAAAAATCGCCGAAAAAAAGCAACTAGTCTAAAAGTTACCTGTTTAACAAGGGGGAGCAAAATTTGTTCTATACTACGAGTTTTAATCTCTAAACAATCAAAATTTGTTGTACCTACAGCTGCCATCTTCTACACTACTACCATCTCACTCCGACGCGTAGAGACCTTAAGTAGATCTATCTCACTTAGGAGACATAACCTCTATATTCGTTTACTATAGCGTATAAGCAATCAGATGGTTAATCAGCTGTTTATGGAAAGGAGCTCGTTTGGATATGTCCAGTTGTCAGATTGATCCAGTTTTGGAAGTGACATCAGGGTCATCTATCGAACGCTGTAAGAACTATGTTTTTTTTAATAACAGAAATCTACTTGTATTGATCTCTGCAGTTATTGTTTCTGTGGTATTAATCCAGTTATGATCTATACGGTTATGAAAAGGGTTATGATCGTTATGATCCAGTTTTAAAGAAATATAAAGTCCCTAAAAAATAGACAGACCAGAGTCATCTATCCAACTCTGACCGACCTAAACCATTTTTAAAATAAGATATCTATCTCTATTGATTTTATTGATTGGGCAAAGGGTTGAATTCTTCAACTGTTGTTAAAAGGGGTTTTCGAAAACTGTGATCTGATTGATCGGATTGATAGGATTATTAATCCAGACATTCGAAAAGTGATCTCAAAACGAGTCAATGCGTTCGGAAAGTGATCCGAATAACTCGATTTTTGCCACAATATATATGTTGTAATCCTACTAACCCTTCTAACGAGGTGGGTAGAATTAATCAGCTGATCATTTCTAGGGTTTAGTTTTAAAAGTAACGGTCCGCATAGAAGTATAAAGTTTTTTAATAACCGTTTTGTCCCAAATCACTTTATCTAATGTTGATCAAATACCGTATGATCGAAAAAAACGGCGTCCAGTTGGCTGGGAAATGACGATCGATGGCATTTCCCATATAAATTTACATATAAAATAACAGCGATCTATTCATTTCATAGCCATCGCTGACGCCGTTTTTATTCGATCATACGGTAGATTATATTTTGTTAGCGACCGTGTAAATGAGCCAATCAGCATAGCATCAGGGCCATGTAAGTGAAATATTAAAAATAGTTCCAGCAAAAGTTTCCCAATTATGACGGATGATGGCGCTGATCGTCAAAATTTTTGGACAGGGATTTTGCTTACCGACAATACGACGTGAGCTACGACCGGACCAGGACCAATCAGAATGATCAGTCTGTGGATCAGTCTTTCTTGGACATTTGCCGCGGAAGTGTGTGTTAATTTCTGTTGTGATAAGTGTGGTTGTGTTTGCAGTTTGATTTTTCGGTTTTGATATTATGTTAAAATTAATTTTGAAGTATTGTATCACCTGTTTTTATGCAATAGTACTTTTCTTAGTTCTATGATCTGATATGTTATGATTTGTTAATGTTTGTTTAACAATGTTATACCAAAGAGGTTATACTTAATATACTTATCAATTTGCATAGCCTAACTTTTTATCAATAAACTTTGTAGATTTTCAGATTATTTAATTCCTTTTTGTTTTCTGTTTGTAATTTTATTTTTTAAGACATATTATGTGCTTGTTTCACATAATATGTTTTAAAAATAAAATTGCAAATAGTGAATAAAAATAAAATAAAAAAGTGTATTTTACAATTCCCCCCGGCCCCGCACCCCTTTGGCTAACCTATAATGTCAGCTATGTCGAGAGATGGCGTTACGAAAATGGAACCGATTTATTACAAGGAACTTGGGCTTCTTTTTCGTTAGTATATTCTGTGCATAGCATCAAGTACAACTTAACAAGTATAGCTAGAGACGTGAGAAATATAAAATAACACGCTACCGGTGCTATGCCCAAGTCTCTTCCTATATTTGTACAACTGTAACTCTAGATTTTAAATAAATAAAAAACCAACAAATAATTCTGATACTGATTGCGAAAAAGCACTATCGGAGACACCCAATAGGAGAAAAATGAACACTGAAACACTGAAACTACAGAACTTAGTGCAACCTACCCTGGTGCAACCATTTTAAGAACTTTTTATGAAGAAGAAAAAGTTTTTCCCCTTGCGTAAAAACAATCCGGGGACACATACTGTATATTTAAAATATTTTTATAAACAAATGTGGATGTAGGTGTGTATATACCAACACTCTGTATTTATAAAAACATATCTAATAGGTATTTAAAATACAAATATTTCTTGTCATATATATAACTGCTATTTTGTAAAATCTTCAGCTTTCAAAAATAATGAAAAACTGAAAATAACCGAAAGTTATTTATATTTGTTTGCCGTTATGGGGATATCAACCATACCCACTTTATTTGTTTCATTTAAAAAATAAAATACATTTTTATTGTCATTATAAATATGTATTTTTTCAAATAAATATATCTTTAAATATAGCAAAATAAAAATAAGTTTATTATAAAATTTATTTCTTTTTACTTCCTACAGTCAGTACCAGTACCATACAAATTAAAGAACTTCATGGTCCTTTAACAACCGTCCTTTTGGTTGTACATCTCTCTCGCACTCATGTGGAATATACAGAGATGCTACAGGTAATTTGAAACACAGCATACCAATGGACCATGGTTAACCATGGGCTGCCACGGGATTTAAATATTTTCAAACGGTTTTTAAAAGTCTTGGAGTTAGAATTGCTTCTTTATTCTTTAGTGTTTCTAGAGGATTTTACAGCTAATTTAAATTAATTTTAACAGATAAACTTAATAATGAGGTGAAGAAGACTTTTAATATCATTTAAGTAGGTATTTAATTTTATATTTATATCGTTTATTTTAGATGGATTTCTTCACAAACTGTGATGTTATGAATGATTCTTTACCACTACAATACAAAATAAAGGACAAAACCAGCAATGAAGTTTATACAATTCAAAAAATACCCTTTAACAAGGAAGATGAACAAAATACTCTTACAAAGAAGATTGAAATAAGAAAAAATATAAATCACCTACATGTTATAAAGTTTTATGAATATATTTGTGAAAATGGATTTGTTTACAGTAAACAAGACCAATGTAAATATGGGTCTTTGTCGAATTTTATACAGGAAGAGTGTTTTGAAAAGAATCAATATTTACATGAAGATTTTTTGTGCAGAATGTTATATCAAATTGCTTTGGCATTAACAACTGTTGAATGTTTTATGGGTGATCTCAATATGAACACCATTTTTCTTGACAAAGATTATAACATAAAATTATACAACTTTTTTACTATTCATGATGGTGAAAATTATGGTGAGAACTTCAATCAAAAAGAGGTAAAAATGTATCATTTAGGACATGTTATGTTTGAACTAACAACTCTCAAACCGTTTGAGAAAGTATCTTATGAGAAACATTTAGAAAATATTAGTTATTCAGATGATTACATTAATATTTTGGTATCTATGTTAAAAAGTAAGACAGAAATTAAAAAATATTTAAATAAGATTTTGAGCCATCCTAGAATTTTACTTAATTCAACAAATTGGTCCCTAGAAAGATGTTTTATTGAGAAAAATATTGGTGATAGTTCAAAATCTGAAATTCTGGAAAGATTGGAGAAAATCAGACAGAGAGAAGCCGCTGTTAAAATTAAAGAACAAATATTAAAGGAGAAGGAAAGAAAAATAGAAAATAAAGAGAAAAAACTTCATATATTAGAGCGTACATTAAAAGAAAAAATTCAACAGGTAGAATTACACTTAAAAAGGTGTCGTGAAGGAAAATCATTAACCAGTGGAAGTTCTAAAGCTAGTAGTACAAATTCTCAATTGAGTTCAAGATCGCAGAAACTATCTTATGAAGAACTAGATTCAACCTACGTAAGTTGTGCACCATCTGATTTGATTAAAACAAGCACTAAACTACAGGTTAACAATATATCTAAGCCTCAGAACTTTCCAAAGACTCTGTCAGAAAAAAGGATAACATTTAAAGTTAGCCCCCTCAAAGACAATAATCGAAAAATTACTAATAAAAGAAATAGCATTAGAAGGTCAAGAATTTTAGACGAAAATATTGATATTCATAAGTTGGGTGAATATGAGAACAATATAAAAATAGAAGGAAGCATTGATAATGTTGCTTGGTCAAAAGAGAATAAAAAGTATGCTTTTGATATGCTCAGAATAATGAATTCAGAAGATAAAGAAAATACCGAAGTTAAACATACATATCTTTGAAAATTTGGTACAAAGTTACGTGCAATATTGAAGTAGCAATCAAAAACACATGTGATAGTTATTATTAAAAGAACAAAGAAAAAAATTTCATACAGTTATTGTTTTATTCAACAAATATACTACATATTAAATAAACTGTTAAATATACATTTTTCATGGCCATGATGGTTTTTCTCCTTCATTAAGGACCCTTCCATACAATGCACTTTTGTCTCTGAAGTACGACAGCCTTTCTGTCTCCTTGTTATCAAAATAGGCCCCAATAAGATAGCCCACTAAAGGGAAAAGACCCAAGTAGATCTGTTTAGGAATAAACGGATACATTTTCGGGATTTTGTTGAGCTTCCTGATCTCTAGCCTTGCACTTCTTTGTGTAGGTCCAATCTGCGTAAATACTCCACGCTACAAAGGTAGGTAAAAGTGTAACTAGACCGTATTTAGTAAATAGTTGACCAAATTTTATGGTCATCTGAAAAAATTACATCACAAATGTTAGGTTATGTGTGTTACGAAATGTATCTAGCTTTCAGGCTTTCACATATTTGAAGCCTCAGAAAGTGATGCATATTGTTTATTTTAATTTAACGCTTACCTTTAAAATTTACAAGATATTAATTTAATTCCATTACTTTAAATTAATATTTTATATTTTTCTACACTTGATAGATCAGAAACATCCAAAAATCATATATAAATGTATTAATGTTTACTCTTTATCTGTGATCATAAAAGTACAGTTTGGTATTCTAAAATTTTTACAAAAGAAGATTTTATGGCAGTTGTCGCCAAACAAAGGAAAAGAAGAAAGCTAAATTTTGTTAGGTTATGTTTTTTTTTATTTTTAAAACAGAAAATTTTTGACTTTAAACGTTAATTTATTGTTATTTTATACTAAATAACAATGAACAACGAGTATGGTTCAAGACTACTGCCACCTGCAAAAGAAACTACACGAGCAGCTTGTAAAAAATGCGGCTACGCAGGACATTTAACTTATCAATGCAGAAATTTTCTGAAAATTGACCCAAACAAGGAAATAGTTTTGGATGTGAGTAGTACAAGCAGTGACAGCGATGTGGACTATTTAACACCCTTAACTGAACTGCGGGAGAAAGAGCTAAAAGAAAAATTAAAGGAAAAGAAAAGCAAAAAGAAACACAAAAAGAGTTTGAAGAAAAAAAAGAAAAGAAAGTATTTGAGTGAAGATGAATCAGACCAGCCATCCGATAGTGAAGATAAAGGCAAGAAATCTGAAAAACATAAAGAACACAAAAAGAAAAAGGAAAAGAAACATAAAAACAAAAAACGTAGAAGACATAATAGTGACTCCTCCAGCAACAGTGACTGAGGTACAGGACCTCTAAAGTGTTAAAAAAACAAGTTTTGCATTTACAGCATAACTATATATTAAATTTAAGACCTATATAACATTCTATAATTTAAAAATAATTTTCTTATATATAAAACAATGATAACATTATAAAAAGATTTTATATAAGTCTTTAAACTAAATCTCTATATGTGGGAACAGTAGATACATAATATATCCAGTACTGTGTTAAGTCTATACTAGAATATACAAATTATATTTTTAAGATTATCTGATTAAAAAAAATATTTACAGGCATCTGTGTAACATAAAATTAGGCACTAATATATAAAAAATATTTTTAGTTTGTGACATCAAGCTTATTTAAAAATTAAACAATTAAACCAGCTTTTTGACGACATTTTTGCATCAAGGCTCTCAACATGAATTGTTTTCTTGACAGTGTCCTTACCTGTCTTAGAAATACATCTAAGTCGATAACTCCACGTCTTAGAGCCTCTCCCATATAATAAATGGCATCTTCTAGTGCCGCTTCTTCGGCATATGCATTGAGCAACCTATAATATTTTTTGAAATATTTTAAAGTAGTTTTTAAATCTATATTGATTCACTTACTGTTTATATAAAGGTGCAGTAGTTGTGACGGCATCATCAACATCTATAGATTCTTGATTACCAATCCTTTCAATAGCTGTACCTAATTCTTGTTCTTTGTCCTTTAATACAGTGATGTTTTTCTCTAAATCTTTCTAAAAATTGTAAATATATCTTTAAAATAAATCAAAAAATATTATTAAGACTTACTTGTTCCCTTTCTAGTCTAACTAGCATAGAATCCAGTTTTGTTTTCCCTTGTTTTAACTCTTCCTGTGTTTTTTTCAATGTTTGTATTTCAGCCTGTGTCTGCATAAATTGCTCTTTCATTTTCCTTAAAAGTTTCTCTTCTATGGCCGTTTTTAAAGACTCACGAATATGCTCATCCTAGAAAAAAAATCATTAATACTTTTTTTTATTAATGATTTTTCGTGCATTTTTACAGAGTCCTGTAACAATGCATTGGGCATCTGTAAGCTGTAGGTCCTATTAAAAGAGAACTTAGAAATTTTGAAGTGCATATTTCAGGAAGATCTATTTCAGGAAAGATTTTAACATTCTAACTTGGGAAATGGAACACTGTATATTATTCCATTTTTGGCTTCCTTCTTAAGCACTTTACATAGTCCCTGCATAGTCCTAAGATGTTAAATTTGTTTTGATATTTTCAGATATATAAATAAATAAATGAAAAAATATGTTTCCAAGCCTTTAAAAAAATATATTAAAAACATAAAATATATATGTCAACTATGCATGGAACCAAACTATGCTAGGTACTTACTACTATAGTTGGTCTGTTCTTAGTTTATAATAAACATGGTATCTTAAATGTTATAGGGCCTTTAAAATTCCATGCACTCGTTTTTTTTTTAAATAGATAACCCTATAATATTATTTTTTTGTTTAATAGACAAATATAATTTAACATTACTTGTATTTAAAGTTTTTTCAAGGGTAAAATACCAAGCAAAATAGATTAGGTGACTTTCATAAAAATTTACTGTTGAAAGTTGAAAAAGTCATATGTAATAAATACGGCGATCGTATGTAGAATAGCTGCGAAACCATTAAAAAATTTGAAATACTTTAAATACAAAGGTGCGTTCACATCGGCTGCGCCGCTCCGCGCAAATCATCTTTTTAATATATAGTTTTGTGCGCACTAAAAAAATACACTACAAAAGTACATGTTAAAAAAATGTTTTGTGCGGCGTGGCGCGGAGCGGCGCAGCCGCAGCTGGTGTGAACGCACCTTAAGAAATTCTCTTTTTTAATACTCTATCAAAAAAATAATATACAGGGTGTTACATTTAAAAAACCACAGAAAAAGTATTTTATATTATAGAAAGTTTGGGGTAGATATGTTATATAAATTGGCCACTGGGGGTACCCCACATCGACGCCAAATCCGAGCAATCAGTCAAACAACCTAAGTAGTTCCAATGGAATAGTACAGAAGCAACCTCAGCAATTATTTTATTATTTGGTAGAAAACATCTATTGGAGCATCCTTGGGAGACTTATTGATTTTATTGAGTGTAGAACGTCACTCTGCTATAAGTTTTTATCATTTTTATTATAGTACTTATATTTTAAACAGTAATAATTGTGTAACCAAGTTAAAGTTTTTTAAAAAGTGATTTTCAAATATGATGACATGACAGATATTTAATCTATAAAATAAGTACAGACCAACTGTAGTAAATACTTTAGTTTTGATTTCCGGACATTTCTTGTAATTTTAATATATTTTTTTAAAAGCTAAAAAAATTTTTTTTATACATTTATTAATACCTCTGAAACTATCAAAACTCAAAACACATTTAATAATATCTGAGTATTGGTTAGGTTAATTGAGTAAATGTAAAGTGTTTAAGAAGGAAGACAAAAATGCAATAATATACAGGGTGTTCCATTAAAAAAATCATCCCAATCCACTTACTTTTTTGAGCCACCATGTAGAAGGTAAAATATTTTCCTCACATACATCCTAGTACATACTTTAGGTTTGTAATAAAACAAAACTTCTAAGTCTATTATAGAAGCTACAAATGCCCAATAATGCACTGTTGTAGAACCTTGTATATTATATATTTTATTACCTTTATAGTACCAGTACCTACAGCTGGTGTTGGTGAACCAAATTGTCCTGATGGGGGATATGGGGTAAATGAATTATTAGGATATGGTGGAAAGCTAGGAAATGAATTGGTCGGATATGGGGGAGGATATCCCCCAGTAAATCCACTGCTCGGAGGGTATGGAGTATTTGCACTAGGAGGAACACCAAATCCTGTTGGTTTTGCTGCATAAGCTAAAAACCATTCCTACTAAGTATAACTATAACAAATTATAAAAAATTTCTTACGGTTTGGAGGATATGGCAAGTTATCGCTTTTAGATTTAGCAAAAACTGGTGGTTGCTCACTAAAAGTAACAATCATGACTTGTATAAGTCCAATTAAATCTGAGGAACCCTACAATATAAATCTATTAACATAAAAACATTCTGTATATAAGAAATGTAATCTTACAGGCACCCAATCATGTAGATAGGGTAAGTATATCTTTCCGTTTTGATCTACAAACATGGAAACTTTAACTGACATGTCTGGAGTAGGTTTTACATAACAAATGGGTGCGTTATTAGGATGTGTATCGATAAGCCAGATCGAAACAGGAATATTATACACCACTCCCCTGTAATTTATCGGGATGGTCCCTGTTAAATTCACCAGTTCCCTTGTGGTACCATCCAAAAATGCTGTGAACGGACAGACACGTCAAAAAATAATGATTCATAACAAGTAAACAAGTTAAGGAAACTAATCTATATAGGAATTTACTGGCACTAATAACATAAGTAAATACATGAATACTTACTGTAATTGTCTTGCTGTGGCTGTAAACCCTGATAATTTCTCACGACAGTGGTAATATCACGAATCACAGCATCGGGATTTTTATACTTAAATTTTAAAAAGAAAAATTTTGATCGGTCAATATTTTGAACAGTGAATCATAAAAATATCTTACCTTTGACAACCACTGTCTCAATCTCATAGGGTCGACCATATTGTCTGCTTACTAAATAATATTTTAGAGCTATTGAATTTATGGGAATCTCCTAATTATTTTTAATTTATCAGAATTAAAAATAAGAAATGAGTAAATGAGTACGCATTGTTCAGAAACGTCAAATACTCTTCTTCTTTTCTTATTTATGGCATCAGTAAAAAATGTATTCTCTTTGCCACAGATTTGCTGTCAGATGACGTTTGTTAAAATAATGACGGTTATATTTAATATTTAACGACTTTTTGTTGGCCTACAATTCAAAAAGCAAAAAGTTGTGAGGAATGTTTTGTTGAATTTATACCTCTTATTTCAGTTATTAAACTTGGTGTTTGTGTAAGTATAACTTTGATTTATGTCTAGGAAAGAAGGGAGTGCTTTATACAGCAGTAAAACCTGTTTGTATTTTTAGAAGCTTGTAAATATGTCTGACCACCAGTTCAAGACTCCTCTCTCACATAATGGTGTTAGATCAAACGATTACTTCAACACCCCCAAATTCTCCTCTGGAGACTCAGATAGTGAGGGAAGCACTACAAGTGCCGCCTCTGGAACATCATCAACGAATTCTGGTATATTCAATTCAAAGCAACACAAATTAAAACTTGTTTTAACTGAATTACAATTTTCAGGATCATCGAGTGACTTAAGCTTAGTCGTACTGTTTGACGATCTGATTCGATCACTAAAATATCGAAGAGATAAAAAAACGGAAGATGCATTTTTAAATTTCGCTGAAGAAGCTAAAAACCTTCTGAACAAGTATAACGAGGCTTTGTGTGAATGTGTCAAGCTTCAGGGATTGCTTGACAAGAGGGTTCAGGAGAATAGTGAAATTGAAATACGTTTGAACAGAGCCAGACATATATTGGATCAGGAGAAGAGAAAGACTCAGAAAGTTATGAGGGAAAAGGAAATATTAGTAAGTAAAATAATAAAGTATTTTTTACGTATTTATATCTATTTTTACATTTAAAGGAGTCAAATTTAGAGCAAGTCAAAGAGCTTTTGTTTCATGATGATGGCATTAAAATAGGCCAAGATACTAGAGAGAAATTGTCATTTTTACAAAAATCAAATCATGAAACTAATGGATATGGAGGAAGAAATCTTTGTGCTATAAATGAAAATAATACGACAGGTATGCTATAACTGTTTTATTTTTATTATTATTAAAATATTTATTGAAATTTATGCTTTAATGTGACAAATTCAAGTATTTTAATTGATATACCAAGATCAAAAAAACATTGAAATAGTAGCCTTCAAAATGACATATGTATAATGTACTATATAGGTATATATGTCATATAAAAAACCTGCAATGTTATATTTTTTTATACAAAAAATTGAGGCTAAAAATAACTGTATTTTTAAAAAAACTTGTAGATTTTGACATTATCTTATTTTTGGAATGGAAATTTTATTAGAAAACTAAGAAATCCAACCGTCTATCGGTTCCATTCCAGATTATATGTATATACCGTTGAGTATTTTACTCTGCATCCTTTAATTTTTGTTAAATTAACGATAGGCATATCACAATCACCTAGATTTTATCAAATAATAAAAATCTACTGACAATAAATTATATAAATGAATATAAAAAAATCTAAGAACTAGTGGGGTTGCAGTCGAAAGGGTTTGGACTAGAGTTAATACACTTTGTTAATAGTCAAGCTTTCGGAATTTATTTATTCCATCCTCAGGACATCAACGTGGTAAAAAACCTGTAAATGTAAAAATTACATTAAAAAATAGGCTTGAGAGTTCCTAGATTTTCCTTCTTAGTTCCTAGATTTTCTTTCTCACTAGTCAGTCGATACTACAAGGATACTACTGTCTACTAAATGAATATATCTAGCAAAATATTTGTTTTAGGGGTAGGCAACCTTAATAGAATTTTGAAAAGACATTCCCATTGAATGGGCACAATAGATCTTTAAGGTCGCAGTGATTAACCCCCCTCTCACACACTCATTCCCACTGAATATCGGAATAATATACTGGGTGTTTAAAACAAAAGAGTAACTTCTTTTTAAAAGTGCCCAATGTTCAATATTAATTAATTTTGTCTCGCCCTGTATAACTTTTTGGGTCAATTTTTGGTACAATGGTAATACAACGAAACAGCAGGCTATACAGGGTAAATTACAATTTAGGTAGTTACATTGTTGAAATTTAAAATTTGTTCTACATTTTTAGAAAATATTAAATACAAAGAATCTAAATCTATACTAAATACAAAACGTTTAGAAAATATAAAAACCTTACATTCTAGTCACATGTTTCTCTATTGAAGCTTGTTCCTTTATTTTTTTCCTAGAATCTGAAAAACAATATATAGGGTGTTCCATTACAGAAAACATAATTTTTATGTGTAACTTTTTTGGAGACACCGTGTAAAACTGCATATTTTTAAAAAATGCTCTAAATTAATCTACATATGTTCACAAAATTTTATTTCAATAAAAACCTGTGATAGAAACTGTCGTTCTCCTTGGAGCCTCTGCATCGTGTGAGAGGCGCCACCCTTTATTTCGTTCTTTTCCGAATATCTTCGGAAGTATTGGGAATTTTTTTCCAAAAAGGGTTTGAATGATTTAATGGTCTTTAAATTGCGCAACTTTGTCGTAATTTAGCCTCTTTCTATCTTGTAGTTTACAACATTCTAAATTCTAATAAGGTCACCCTCAAATTTTAGACACCCTGTACTCATAGTAACCGATTTGGTCGAAATGTCGACCTTATCTTAAAGAATAACAACAACAATATTAAACAATTGTTACTATTTAATCCAGAGACAACTTATTACTTAAATTTATTGTCATTCGAAAATTACACTTTCGTTTTCAAGACGTTAAAATAAAGAAATAATGAAACCGTAAAGCCCCGTTTACACGTAACGTTTTACCTGTCAGTCTTATCTTAAAATTTGCTTTGTTATTTTTGTTAAGACTAGTTAAGACCAGTACTTGAGATTGTTTAGATCGTAATCTAAAGTCATAGTGACAACTTAACTAAATTTACTGTCATTCCAAAATTATACTTTTGTTTTCAAGACGTTAAAATAAAGCAATAATGAACATATAGAGAACATTTATTCTAAAATTCAGTCCATGGAAACTAGTGCATGATCTCAATAGTGACTGTATCAACAAATTCATATGATTCTCAGTAAAATCATCTGCTCTTTCACATTCGCTCTGATTTAGCCACTCTTAACCCTTGTTATTTGCGCACAGAAGTTCAGTAGCTCGTCTTGTGAAATGTAAACTCGGCATCATAATTTTTCAACCAATAAAGAGTCGGGGATCACATTTTCGATTTATCAATACTAAATAATTTTACTTCTATTCATGGATTTTAATCATATTTTAATATACAGAAGGATGGTGCCAAAATTCGACAAATTTTAGTTCAGAAACGTGTTTTTCTTTAAATTAAACTGATTTTTCCACATTTTTACATTTTTAATGATAATATTTGCTGAAATCCTCTATCTGCCCTACGTGAAATTTAGTGAGTCACTAACGTAATTAATGAACTCCCCCTAGACGGTCTTCCGTTTTAACTGCCAGGTAAAACGTTAAGTGTAGACGGGGCATTACAGCTTATAAATTTATTCATTATACCATTTGAATATTTTTGATCTTGCTTGTGACTATATTAATCAGATTTTCGCACTACACTCTCGTTTTGAAGACGTTAAAATATAAAATAATGAAGCTCTTAATGCTTCAATCTATCCATTGAAGCCTCTTAGAGAATGTTTTTGGTGTTGCTTGTGGTTGTATTTGTCGGATTTTTGCTAGGCTCGATGTTGTCAGACTTTAGCGTGTCGCGTTCAGAAGACGATCTGGATGTATCCAGATACAACACCAAACAGGGAAGAGAGTGGAAGAAACACAGAGCCAGTACCGGAGTGGATCCAGAACCGGCTCAGAAGAAAAGGAAATCGTCTACTAGTAAAGTTATAGAGGTAGGTTAATAAAATATTCGTTGTTTTTTTTTTATCATTTTTACCATTGAATTAAACTACTATAAGAAAGGTACCAAATATCATGCTATATCGGGTAAGTTCTAATTTAGGTAGAGCATTTAATGAAATTTAAAATTTATTCTTTATTTCATATTTGAGTGTTCTGTATCTCAAAAGGAAAAAAACGGAACCCTTATAAGATCACTTTGTTATCCGTCCGACTGTCTGTCAAGACCCTTTATATCGCGAACGCGAGGAGGTATCGAGTTGAAATTAAAACTATTTATTCAAGTCTACAGTTTCTTGAAACTGCGGAAAAATCAAACTTCTAAGTTAACGTAAAAAAGATATGGTCATTAATGCCTCAAAAAAACGTATATTTCGATACTCTCAAGCGAATCAAAATTTATGGGGTATTTTCTGTTGATCTAGAACTATGAAATTTGGCAAAGCAATACCGTCTTATACTAGAAGTATAGGGAAAAATCTGAAAACTACATTAATTTGTAATTAAATCATAAAAAATATAATCTTTGCAAAATAAAACACTAAATCACAACAAAATAATACAACAAAACACTTTTACTTTTATACAGAACGCGCGTTTCGCTAACCATGTTAGCATCAGCAGCAGATGATTAAAAACTGATTATAGTCTTTATTTAAAGTATGTAATCAATCATCGAGATTAAGCGGTATGCCTGGTCATAATTGTATGGGTGACCAAATCTTTTTTTAGATTTATTAAACTTTTACTAATTTGTACAGAAGAGACAGATCTGAAAGCCGTATATTTATATATATTAAACGGCAAAAAAGAGGGTCTTTATGCCAGAAACGGCCCACGGTGGTCTAAATGGAAAAATTACGGGGACACTCAATTTTGTTTTTGAAATAAAGGAAATAATTGTTATTTATAATGTTTTTAAGTAAAATTACACTCATCAAAAATATTTTTTACATTTTTACTTTCCTATTTTATATACAGGGTGTTCAATTAGTGCGATAAAGTCCAGTATCTCGTTTGCTATTAAGAATTTTAAAATAATGCTAATACAAATGTTATAAGTAATAATAAATTGCTTCTTGTTAAAAGATTTTTAATTATACGGGGTGTGTCAGATAAGTGCTAGAAACCAAACTTTTTAAATAAAACACCCTATATATTTTTTAAGATTTCAATTTCTGGTACTTTTTCCAGCATTTTGATATAGGGGTGAATGGTTTATACTATGTGTATCAAAAGTTACAGCCATTTTTATTTTTGACGCTCTATACCATTTACAGTACTTAATATTATTTTGTTTTATTGCGTCAGGATATTAACAAGATGGTATTTTGTCATTTTATTTATTGAATTTACAAGTGAATATTACAACTTAAAACAATGTTGACAATGATATTGTGTTACTTGGGTATTTTAACTGAATGTATTTACTGATCTACAAAATGTTATCTTTATCAAGGCTTCCTCTGGAGAAAATGGTCGCATCTCGTTGTTTAACCTTTCTAAATTTTTTATTTTTGCCAACTCTTCGGGACTAGAAATCGTAGCTGTTTTGATGGCAAAAGCAACATTTCTCTTTCCTTTTCTTGTATATCCAGTCTGACGCAAGTTCAGCAGGACATATTGAGAAATCAATTCTTGTGTACGTCTTCTCTTAGTTCTAGTACTAATAGCAATAAATTCTCTTCAGTTCTTTCGCGAAGGCGTTTTTGCATGTTGCTGAAAGGTGCTTTGGCACTTAGATTTATAAACATATTCGTTAAGCCAAATAAAAAGTCTTACTTATTTCGGTAGCACCTTTTCCAACGTAAAGCAATTTGAGTTGAAAACCATGATATTTTGTTGGTTAGGCCATCATCGTCAGCAGTAGGGATGCGTTGTATGACAAAGTCGGCCATCTTTTTTCTCACAACTAAAGAAGTGGCATTTCCCATCCAGCCATTTTCATTCAAAAGCTCAAATAAGTGTTTTCGGCTCACGCCCGAAACTGTACAAAATAGAAAAAAAAATAAAAATTTCACAAGACTGCACCTATCAGCAGCTCAGTATATTGTTACACGATAGGCAGATATACTAGCTTTAAAAGAAATTTAGTTTGACGGTGAAGAAAAGGGTCGTTTTTTTCTGAGCCTTCCATTCTTTAAACTTTAATAAAATTGTAAATACTTCTTTGACAACTAATTATATCAATATTCGTGTTTCGAAATAAGTAACTAAACTTACCTAACAAATGAGCAGATATGTCTGAATTAAAAAATATACTATCAATCTTCAGTGAAGACAAACTTGTCACCTAATGTCCCCGTAATTTTTACATTTAGACCACTGTGCGGCGGTCCTAATTTTGAAATAAGTTAACTATATCATGTAGGGTATTGTATGAAAGGGCTTCATTGGCACAAGCTTAAACGGATTTTTAATTATTTTTATGATGTATAGTTTTCGATTTATGGCGAAGAAACTACAGTTCATATCAAATAAACTTTTAATCACGTGATTAAGCGTCCACACCTTTTCATATTTTCTTTTAATCGAAATATTTTAGGAAACAAAAATAAATTAATTATAAATATATAAACAGTTATTATTCCTTCTTAACAGCACTTAAGGGACATAAAGGGCCATTACTACCGCTTTCCCCTTCAAAATATTCTAATAAAGTTGCGATGAGTATTTACGGCTATTAAGCTATCTTGGTCACTTCGCACTAAAAGAGGCTCTAAAAAGAACAATGTTCGACTGAAGGCAATCAAGGCGACTGACTTCAATGCAAGGTCTGCTAGTAAAAATTTTAAAGGTTACAGTATCACAACACAATTAATTTAAACCAAAAACTCGTAATACAAAACTAAAGTGTCAAAACGAATGACACTGTCAGGAAATAAATAAACAGATGTGGCAACTTGACATTTTTTACAGCAGAGCTACCACTTGATTCACCAGCGGGAAATTTAAATTTCAGTTAATCAGCTCGGCGCCGAATATGTCCATGGTTGGCAACAATGAATTTATAAGTCGCGCCCTCGATTACGTAACTAAAAGTTTAATTGGTAGCGAGATTGAAAACTGTGAGACTCGATTTCTGGATTATTTATAATATGTACCTACAAATTTGTACGGAACCTACGGTGTTCCGTTACAAAAAAAGACAATTTTGATGTGTGTAACTTTTTTTTGGACAAAAATGTTATGTATTAAACTTTTCAGATCGGTCCTAGTGATACTGTTCGCGCGACTACAACAGTCACAGTGATAAAGAAAGGACCAATAACAGCATCTTCTACTATTGAAACTATTCCACATCTAAACAACAATCACATAGGATCACCGATAGTTACACCAAATGTAAGCAAAAGAATAATATAGAGATCTCGTTCTAAATTAACTGATTTTCTTTGGATGTGATAGGATGATGTATGTTCTAATAATCCAAGTGCCCCACCACCGCATTTAGTTTTCGAATCTTGGGCGAGGAACGACACTCCTAGAAAACCTCCAAGGTCTAGCGCTCTGAAGAGTGACCATAGACCTCACTTTTTGCAGCCCAAAACCATCGTTGTGCCCGATTCTTGCGTTTATTGTCAGAAAAAGATCAGGTAAATATCTGAAATAATTATAAAAAAAGTATATATTTTATTAATATTATTTCATTTATTTTGTGGTTTGATTGCAGTATATTATTTTTTACCACTCTGAATCGTGATATCGTATTTATCACTCTGAGCAAAAATTATTTCTAGGTGTCAAGCCCAGTTTACACATAACGTTTTACGTAAAACGTCCGTTTTTTGTCTACACACAAGATTTTACTTGATATGTTTTGACTGAATATGTAAAGTAAGACGTAAGGTAAAACGTTATATGTAGATGGGACCTTATATGTAATTAAAATGTAGGTATATGGTATTATATCATACGAGGAAAAAAAGATGATTATAATTTTAGCGAGGTCAAGCTCTAGATGTCATTACTTGGACTCAATTGGACTGTACTTCTCTTTATTTTTTTAATGCACCCCGACGCAGCCAGGACAGTGCTTCTCGGCATTCCATCACAGTTTTCGATCTCACTGATTGCATGGTGATGCTTCTTAAAGCGGCCAAGCTGTCAGAGTATCTGTCATGACTATATCCCCTATTGGTCTACCAGCAATTTTTTCTCGTACAACTAGCCGCTTCCTTTATGGCGTAAACCTCTGCTTGTAGAACATTACAGCCATCCGATAACCTCTGTGTAGACTGGTATCTCTTGAGTGTTTATTACTCGGTTGCTTTCCCATTCTTCTCTTGTCGGGATGCGAATACTTATCTTTTCTCCAAAATCATGTTTGGTGAGCATATAGTCCGTTTTCTGGTTTAGCAGATGTGGACTCCATGTGTTCACCATGATTTTCCCTATCACTGGCAATATCCTCGAGTGACCGTAGTTGATCTGGTTCCACAGAGTGGATTCCCTTAATCTTAGGTAGAAACGATCTGTCTATTGTTTAATCTCTCTATAACTAGTGTTAATTTTGACAAGTTTTATGTCAATTTTTAGTAAATGATGTCTAGAGATTGACCTCGCCAAAATTATTATCCATTGTCATTCCCCAGCCTTTTCGATGCCTTTTTTTTCGATCGTACGGTACATATGTTTTCAAATTTTAAGAGTGTGTAAAATATTGATTAAGAGGCTATTTAGCGAAATGTAGTCTGTTTTGTACTGCTTAGTAAGTTTTGAATTATATTTCTAAAAAAATTTCTTAGATTTGGCAAAACAGCCTTAAAATGCAAGGAATGCAAATCTGTATGCCACGTTGAATGCAGAGATAATTTACCACTACCTTGCATACCGGTGCTTAACACACCAAATCACAAACATATTTTGGTAAGTCTTTTAAAATAAAATTCTCTTGCATTATTATTATTATACTATATTATTAGTAATTTTAAATTATTAGATAATTTTTTGACCTCTTAATTTGTTTTTTTAATGGAAATATACTGAGAAAAAATACATAATACAAAAAATCTGCTAAAAATAGTTATTTTATATTAGGGAATTATAAGTGATTATACCCCCACAACTCCGCCTATGGTTCCTGCTCTGATAATGCATTGTATCAACGAAATCGAGCTCAGAGGCCTCAATGAGTTAGGTTTATACAGAATTTCTGCAGCTGAAAAAGATGTCAAAATGCTCAAGGTGAGTTATGTATTGTCATTATGTCTGAAAATAAATTATGACTCAGAGCAGTAATTAATCTACCTTTCCTTTAATACTATACTGTCATTATATTTTAATAAGATCTATTTTGAAGATCTCTGCTTCAAATTTCATCAATTCATCATTATTTTAATATAATAAGCTTCAATGTAATAAGAAATATCTGAAGACATTGAAGCGAACTTCAGTACATGTAGTACATGTCTGAAATCATTTGGTGTCTAATGTATCAATTTATTATAGTGTATTAGGTCTAACATTATATAAATCTTTTTGTTACGTTATACCATAACTACATGATCAAAAAAACGGCGTCAAAGACGACTGGAGAATGACAAACGATAATAACTTGGCGAGGACAATTCTATACGCTAATTACTAAAAATTTACATAAAACTTGTAAAAAATAATACTAATTATAGAAAACTTGAAAAAGGCTAGAACAGAAATAAATTACGTTTAGGTGTTGACCTCGCCGAAATTATCATCGATTGTCATTTCGCAGCCGTCTTTGACGCCGTTTTTTTTTTGTATGGTACTTCTTATAATTTGGAACTTGTGATTGGTTTAGGAGAAATTCCTGAAGGGCCGTACCGCTCCGTCGATCAACCAGCTTGACATCCACGTGATCTGCGGCTGCGTCAAAGACTTTTTGAGGGGTTTGACAGAGCCCATCACTAGTTATCATCTGAGGAACGACTTTGTCCAAGCGGTGGAGGCTAGAGATCGTCAAGATATGGTACCAGCACTGAAACAGTGCATTTCGGAACTACCCAGGCCCAATAGGGATACTTTGGCATATCTGATACTGCATCTACAGAAGTAAGAAAATAATTTAAGTTTTTGAGGATTTTTTGACCTCTTCTCTCCCCCACTGGTGAGATGTCGTGAGATTTGTCACGATCCCCCATGTAATTAATAGACGCCCCCTAATACATACAGGGTGGACTGCTAGTGCGAGGAAGTCCAATATCGTGTTTTAAAAACACGATATTGGACTTTAAATAAGGAAAAATGTTCGTATTTTAATTCTGCATCTAAAAGATAAATAATATACATGGTGTTGCATGTAAAAAAATAGAGAGAGAGTTTTAAATACTGTCATGTTGGCCACGCTATATAATATAACCTGTATAAGATAATATCGAGTTTACTTTCATGGATTTATTCTGTTAATCTTGGTGTTTAGGAAAATATAGCTAAGTATTAATAAAACTACTTACCACTTAAATATTTGGTGTTACAACAGCAAAGTAAAACACTAATTCACCACAATACACCAAAACACTTTAAGTTTGTACTGAATGCGTGTTTCGCTAACCATATTAGAATCATCAGCAGATGATTAGAACTAAACTAATATCTACAAATTGAGCGTTTATATAGGCGCTCAATTGGCACCGACTAGTTTTGTGACACCCTGTATACAATACAATATTTTTAGGATATGTACCTTTATAAATCATGCACCATTTGTATAAAACTTGTATCCGGGGCCACCCTGTATCTCTAAATTTTTTACCCCTAAATGAGATGAAGGCTATTGCGGTACTGTATAGTTAGTTAGGATTTTTTAGAAATAATTTAAAAACTGTACCATCTATTTTCAAACATAAAACGCTTCCAGGGTTGCCGATTCGCCCGATTGTAAGATGCCCCTCGAAAATTTAGCCCGGGTTTTCGGTCCCACTGTTGTCGGATTTTCGTCGGAAGATCCCGAACCAAACAATCTCCTAACTGAAACTAGACAACAAATCATGGTAAACAAACTTACCCTAGTTATAAGAGAATTTGTCTATATATAAGTTTTAATTATTATAGGTTATGGAACAGTTGATTTCTCTACCAAACGATTACTGGTCTTCGTTTCTCAATGTAAATCAAAATTCTCAGCCAGTATCCAGAGGATTACAGCAAACACCAAGTACAGACTCTTTATTGAAGCCAGATGGACGGTTTTTTACGCCTAGATCCAAGTAAGTATTTAAATATCCCTAATAAGGTTTATATGTTATTGTCCTAGTAAGTTTAAAGTCTTTTTAGGGCAATAAGTTCTGTTAAATATTGTCGCTCTATAAGACTAAATAAGACTTCAATATTATTACCCTAAAAAGATATTTTATTCTAATATTATTCAAATACAAAAATGTATCTTATTAGGGTAACAAGTTTTAAGTGTTATTAGGATGTTATTATATTAAATATTGTTGCTCTATAAGACTATAAATTAGCTTTCAATATTACTACCTTAATAAGATATCTAATATTGTTCTATACAAAAATGTATCTTATTAGGGTGATGTTTTATTATTATATTTTATTTTATTTATTAGGGATATATTATTTTATATATCGATTTATTTATCAATACCCTAATAAGTTTTGAATCTTATTAGGGTAATGGGTATCTTTAAATATTGTTGCTCTATTAATATTTCATTCTGGCCACCCTAATAATATACTTTAAAGTAAAATTACCCGAATATAAAAAGTAATATTATTAGGATTATATATTATTACCTTCTGTTTAAGTTACTGGGGTAACATTTTTTAATTACTTAAGAGGATTTATACCCCATTGCCCTAATAAGTGTTTTACATCTTCTTATGCTAATAAGTAATATTAAATATTCTTGCCCTAGTAATATTTTATAATAGTGTTACCCTAATACAAATATTTCTTATTAGGGTAATATATTTTTAGTAATACCTTATTAGGACAATAACTTTTAACTTGTAAATAGCAACAAATCTTTTTACAGCCTAACAGAATTAGATTTTTCATTGAACTGACATCATATTCTGATGTATGTTTGGAACCGAATGCTGAAAAATTTCTGTATCTTTATTTTATTATCTCTTATTCATACTACAATATTTCTTTTCTTACAGAAGAGCAAAGAGACAAAGAGTATTTGCCACACCCCCAGCTTACAAAACTTAAATTTTTTATACTTATTGTATATCCTTACAAATCAGGAAAAAAATCAGATTTTAATCCTTATTTCTAATAATTTTATTGTTCGCAGTTATTTCATACTTACTTTTATTTTTAGTTATAGATTTTTGCTTATTTTTCTTTACTTATATGTTTTATGTATTACTTCTTTTGTACATTAGAACGTTTTTATGTGCACCTCATATATTTGCCATTTTTTTAATAAAGTATTAGAGTTGCGTCCCTTAATTTGAGGTAATAAATGTAAAAATCTAGATTTTTTTTCACTTAGTGTAAATCCAAAAAGCAAGTATAGATTTATCTGGTTTCTTTATATATTCATATAGAGGGACTCTTAACACGTTAAGGGAATAAAAATAAGGGTAGCTCTTAAAAGATATTAGTCACTGGTGTCCTATTTTCGAAGAATCTTTTACGCCAAAAGAAGTAAGTTTTATTACATCTAGAACAACGAAAAGAATTTTATTTTTTATGTCTGTTTACTTTATTACTTTGGTATGAACTGACGGTATTATTCATTCAGGCGGACTCTGACGACTCGGGTACTTGGCAAACCATTGTGATTGATATACAGGATCCGACGATAGTGTGTCGCGCGTCGTAGCTTCTGTAATAATAACTATATAATTTTGAAATTATAATTCTTATAATTAATAACTTTGAAATTTTGTATAGATGCCCGACGCACTAGTGCCAGACCCTGTATACCAATAACTAATGTTTGCCAAGTACACGGGTTATCTGAGCGCGCCATTAAATTGGTTTAGTACCGTGTTTGATGAAAAAATAGCGTCACATTGGCTTTTGAAATAATAAATGTTGATAATTTCTGTTGGATCTATGTCGTTTATTAAAAATTGACAATAAAGTTGCCAAAAACTATACCAAAACTTTGACACATTTTTCTTTTTTTTTATCCTTACTCTTTATTCTTTATTTGTAATATACAGTGTGATTCCGTAGCTATCGGGAAACAGTTAAAAATGCATTTTTTACCTTGTTTATGAAAATAAGTATAGACTATAGAGTATATTATATTTTTATAAAACTCCATAACAAAACAAATAAAATATAAAAATAATATACAAGTTGTTAATTTGTTTATTACTCGTGGCAAGAGCTTTATGGTTGAAATATGGCAACCTCGGCCCCCTCGTCCATAGACGACGCGACGCGACGGGACGAGTCGGCAGAAAACGCTATAACTGCATGCGTTCTCAATAGGCAGTGTTGCCATTCTGTTCCCCTATATGTAACTGTCCAGTTAACAATCTGTATAGGGCATCCCATTTAAAAAAACATAAGTTTTGGTCATATTTAAAGAATGACAACTTCCAGCGAAAAACTGGTTACGCCACGGAAATCTACGTTAAAAAAACGGAAATCTACGTTAAAGTTTTCAACTTTTCGATAAATTATACATACATAAGTGAGATAGGAGGGGAGCCGAAAAATACAACAATTTCAAATTCGCCCTGTATTTCAGGGACTAAGAGGGCGAGATTAAATCTGTGTATCGTTTTAGTTTCATAAAAAAGTAGCACAGTAATGTGAAAACCGCATCTTTGTACCTCTACTCATAAACGGGAAACCCTGTAAAACACACGAAAATGGGACACCCTGTACTAGAAAAATAGCAAAGAAACGAAGTGTGCGAAAATACCGTGAGAGCAAACAAGTCCTTTGTTGGACTATTAGCCCTCTTAAGACCTAAGTATCTTAGACCATAGGTATGGTAACTAGATACCTTACCTACATTGCGTTGATATAGATTGTATGGGAGGGGGGAAGTTAATCACCGCGACCTTATAGGTCTATTGTGTCCCATTTTCTTGAGTTATAACAACTCATCATACAGTCTCAGGCCTTTGACAAAAGCCAGCTCTGACACAGTTTTACAGAGGTTAGTTCTCTATCTCTGATATCAGTCGTACCAATGTTTATGGCATTACCGGTTGACGTCTGGGCACACTCAGTGATTAGGTCTGTTGGTGTTTCCGCATTTTTTCTACAGAATCTGCGTTCGCCGTTGTTTCTTCAGTCTACTGAGATTTTCATTAAGAAGACAGTGTCCTGTTAAAAACGTGACAATTCGAAGATTGTTCTTACTTAAATCAAGGAAAATCTTTGATTTCTTTCGGTTACGAAAGAAACTATAATTATACTTATAGGATACCTAATCTGTGCTATAATCTACGATTTCCTCGCATTAAAATCTATGTTAGTTACAATTTACCCACATGCCCACTTACGTATCCAGTTCACTCACCCTCTGAGCTCCTGCAATAGGCCCCAACACCCCTCAGTACTTTTTCGCACCCTTTTTACCCCTCACTTCGCCTCGCCTATAGTTTCTCCCTATTCCAGCCCTTATTACCGGAGTATTCGTACGGCGTCAGCGTAGGCATTGACGCGTCTGCGCCCACATCCAGTCGATGAATGGAACGAAGCGCCCGCCTGTCGGCAATCAGTGCCGCTCTGGAATCAAGAAGGCTTTGCTCGCTACTGTTGCTGTCAAACAGCGCGAATTATTTACTATAATCGGTGCTTGTATATGGGAAGAGAGTGCTATGGTCGGTGACATCTGACTCTCGCTTGTTGTTTATTCCATTTTGTTTGTTGAATTCAATTTTTTAGGCGTCGGTGCTTGAAGAAGCGTTAAAAATCCTCGTTTAATGAGAATTTTTAATATCTATTCGATAATGGTAACGTACCCTACATAAGGGCGCTGTTTTTTATTGGTGCGGTTTAAGTTTAATGTATTTTTCAGGGGTTTGACTGTATTATATACATGGTGTTTTGAACTTCGTTGACTCTAAGTGAGTGTTTTTTTGTACTTCTTTGTTCTGTAATATTCTGGGTGGAGTTGTGAAAGGTTGAAGAAGCTCCAGATGACTGCGTAGTATATTTTCCAGAAAGGTAAGTTTTTGTTTATTTTAATTTGTAGGGTATTTTGATTTTTTTTAATGAAATTTATTTGAAATCAAGTTTTTTGTTATGTAATTAATATATCAATCGGTTTTTATATTGATTTAAATTTTGTTTAGAACAAAAAGCGTGTTTTCAATAGATAAATAGCAATTTTTAAATAAAATAGGGCATATTTATTGCTTAATTTTGTTTATATCACCAGAATATAAGTGATTTAAATATTTGAGCTTTATTGTTGGTATATTTTATATAGAATTAAATTTTTATAGTTTTTAAATGGAACCATTCAATTTTTTTTTGGTTTTGGTATTATTTTTTTTATTGATTAGTATTTTATATTTTGAGGTACTATTTTTAAGTATTTTGATTATGTAAAATCCAATTACATGAAAATGCGCTTCTATGTTATATAATTTAATATATTTAGCAAAATTATATTAATAGTAATTTTAAATAATTCTGCTTTTAAATGTTGTTTAAAATATTGTATACGTACAGGGTGATATACAGTGGTCCTAATAAGCTTTTCATCGAGTTTTCTCTGTTTAAGATTTTCTCACCAATTTTTTTTCCTAAAAATATGCGGACAATCCCGAGATTCAAAAATATTTTTATTGCTATACAGGGTCTGATTCAAATATATTATTTATACGCTAAAATTATCGTTGTTAAATGAAATGTTATATATATTTCTTTCCCTTGGTAGATTTATTTTTTTTCAAAATTACACTATGTTGCATCGTATATACAACTATGTAAATATTTTTTTATATCTGAATTCAGTTTTTATTCACTGATTTTCTGTTCAATAAAATTATTTTCATCCCGATCAGCGCAATAATTCATATTTTATTAATTCTTTATAAAATTTGTGAGGAACAAATTCCCAAATATAGGTTTTCAGGAGATTTTCACTGAGTCACTTTATATTTTTTTAAATTTAGGGATATATGTTACCAAAGTATGTTACATACAGGGGGTGAAATTTTTAGAGTGTTATATGTTATTATATACGTACAGATTTTTTAATTAAAAATAAACCAAAAAAAATCGTATAAACTTTTAGTTATCAAGGAACGTGTCGTTGCCCTTATTATACTGTGTGTTACCCTTTTTGATAATTTAACTAGTAAATAATTAGTATTTAATATGTTTTATTTGTATTTAATTGATATCAAATTGACAGGATTAACTGTTTGAAATATGGATTGTGTTTGTTGATATAATGATATACTAAATGAGAAGTACGTGTGGAATGTTTGTATTTTGATAAAACATCAAAATTGTGACTCACACTCACTAAGTGAACTATATTTTTTATAGTTACTACTATACAGGGTGGTCCGAAAGCGCCAAATTGTAATCGGAAAACTTCAGCAACATATTCTGCAGATAAGAAATAAAGAAGTTCGTATAAATTTATGTCCAAAAATGTTTGGGAGATACAGGGTGTAGAAGTTTCATTTTTATTTAGTCTTTTTTTCAAATAATTTCTGAATTAACATCGATATTTAGATGAAAATTGCTGTCTGGGAGTTTTTTGATATGAGAAATTCAATTTTAATGTTAGTATCCTACTTGTAGTGGGCGCCATCTATATGTTAACTGTTATGCAGAGGAATACACTTTTAGTTCGTACCTATATCACACTACTTAAAGAAAAAATATAAATTTCCGCCATTTTTTTACGTAAAAAAGGTCTCTAGTTAAAAATCACTATGGACAACCGTTCTGAAGATATTTGGAATCGAAATAATCAATACAGATGTCGTCATTGGCAAAAAATAAACATTAAGACTTAAATTTATACGAACTGTTTTACTTATCTGCGGAAAATTTTACCCAAGTTTCCCTATTATAATTCACAATACCCTGTGTATTGAGAGTATTTATATTGCACTTATATTATTTTTAATTAATGTTTCTCAAAACATTCATGTTAATTTTAGTTCAGAGAATGATTTTGAGGTGTTTTTTAACTTTTTGTATAAAAATTTCAAAGAAAAAAGATATTAAAAGACACAAAAAAGGAAAGATATAGTAAAGTTCTTTTGATTGATTTGAAAGAAAATTATAATAAATTAAAAAAAAATTAAGAATCAAAAATGCAGCAAAAAGAAATCAAAAACAAAGCAGAACCGGACCTATGTTGATATAAAAAATAAATCTTATTTTTACATGAGGAATCTCCCCACGAGAGATGTTTTTTTTGAAACACTCTGTATATCCTTAGCCGATGCATAACCCCCTATAGTAACCTCCACAATTTCAACATTAAAAATGATGAAAATTCAATTTATTGAATCTCGTTTCAATCTGATATACCCCGTCATAGAGCTTTTTGCAGCAGGAAAACTTCTATTCCATTTAGCTTCTGGGTTAGCATCATAAATATGTCTTTTCTCCCTCGATAGCGGAACACCGTCTCCTTTTTCTCCATATTTTCCACGACTTTTCTTCTATTTCCCAGCGAAGCGTCCGTCGTTGCCCTAGATTTTCCAACGAGGAAAAATATCTGCTTCAATTTATCGCCTTCTGTATGTCGGAAAATATAGGAACGTATAGAGTCTCTAACCGGTCTTTAAGTAGGTAAATGGAAAAACGTATTTGAACTAGAGCCAGAGACAAATCGTGCTTTAAATTGCTAAAATTAGATGAAATATAGTCTTGGAAAAACTTCTCTTATAACAGGATATACTAAGAAGGTTAATAAAGTGGGCGGTAGACGATACAGCATGTCGTACAAGAAGTTGTTACTTCTAGTTGTTCAGTAAAAATTGTTTATTGATACATATCTTCAATGCTGTTTTGAAATTTAAAAAAAAATTATTTAATTATAAAATGAGCGGAACAAAACTTTCAGATAAAAAAAACGGATTTGGTTTATTAGTATATGACATAAATTAGGATTGATTGACATATTCATTTGTTTTTGGTCACTTCCTGCTTCACCGGAAATGACTACAACTTTTGTTTTTAAATGGCACCTTCGGTATATTTTTACTTTATTCGATAGACAGAACACTCTGAGTAAAATGACATATTATATGTCAACTTTTGACATTTTCGCTTAAAAAAATCGTATTTTAAATTTCATTCTAGAGTGTACCTAATGGCTGTATTAAAAACACAAATTTTAATAAACGAGCCTTGGAAAAATATATTTGATCGTCTAACTTTTTCGTGTCTTGTTTTGGCATGGCCGGTTAAAAGATACCTAAATCGTATTTTTAATCATATCTAAATTTTTTCAAATGGAACAAGGGTGGCTCATTAGCATATTTAGAAAAAGTATTTTTTTACTAATAATTTGGTACCACACATTTGGTATTTCGAGTCAAATTGTCGTTATGAACAGCATAGGTATTACAATTTTAAATAAATCATATGCGAAAATGTTAAAAGTTCACATATGATATGTCATTCTATTGAGAGTGTCATTTTCTATCGAATAAAGTAAAAAATACCGAGGGTGTTATTTATAAATCAAGAGTTGTTGTCATTTCCGGTAAAACAGGAAGTGACTAAAAATAATCGAATACGTCAATCAATCCTAATTTATGTCACATACTAACATACCAAATCTCGTTTTTTTTATCTGAAAAAATAAAGAAGTTATAGGGGTGAGCCACTTTTGAGAAGCACCCAGTATATAAACGAAGTATATCATGGGAAAATTGATAGACGCGGTATACCACAGCCTCAAATATAAATTAATTTGATCTCATTCTATATTACATCTCTCCAGTTTTCCATTTATGTTCATTAAAACGCCAAAAAATAAAGTTTTTTAAATTTACTCGCACTTCCCAGGAGAGATAGATATAAAATCCATTTCCGTTCCAAAAAAGGGAAAACAGCGGAAACTAAACGGGGTAAAACTGGCCATTGTCTGGACCGTTACTGCCCCGGAAAATGGCAGAATATCAACCGGACGCCCATTTTTCATCGAAGTTTTCCGAAAAATGTTTGGCACGCCACGAAAAATCGAGAAATTTATGCCATTAATTAGGGAAAACTCGACTGCTTTCCTTTATAGTCGTGTTTTGGCGAAGGAATTTCTGAAATATTCATGGGATTAAGTGATCTTAACACGAATTTATGAGTTTTTCATTTTTCTTAATATACCTTTTGCTTAGTATAACAAGTCGAGAGTAGAAAAAGAAGTGTAATGGGTGCTTCTGGTGAAATATTTCATGTAAATTAATTAGATCATACATCTGCGTGAGTGAAATAAAGAAAATATCATACAGGCCAAGCAGCTTCGGCAGAATTTCTATGCATTCTATCCATGATTCTAGAAGACCGATTTTGATGATTTTTTAAGCAATTTGTTGGTAAATTACTTGACTTTTTAGTATCTCTTTCTAAATGAAAAATGAAAGTTGCTATCTGCCAATTATACGAGGGAAAACAAAATCTTGATATTTTGGTGAAAATTTGAAACACCCTGTAGAGTACGTTAACAAAGCAAGGAATTTAAAAATAATTTTATCATCTAGGTGTACAGGGTGGGTCAAATTCGACGCTTTTAAATGGAAACACCCTTTTCTATAGGAGATAGACAAAAACTAATATCGGTGTCTGGAGCTCAATTTTTATCAAAAATATGATGCTGAAAACCGCATATCAATATCTGTTACCGTTTCGGAGTTACGGGGTGTTTTTTAAAAATGTGCATTTTTAACAAATCGCTGTAACTTTGTTGCTATGGAAAATTTTATATTTTTATGAAAACATTTCCAAAGCACCTTTTTACGTAGAATTTAATGGTTTCAGTATATTTTTTTTAAAATTAATAATTTAAGAATTATCAACAGAAAGTTTGATTCTTTATATGGGACACCCTGTATATTTTCACTTTATTGAAAAGAATCTAAAATTCCCTGTCCAAAAATATAACACATTTGATATTTTGCTCGATTTCTCTTCGAGATATAGAGTATATAAAAATTCGCCCGCTTTAAATAAGTAGGCTTTGAACGGCA